AACACGGGAGAGAGCTTGGAAGACAAGGAAAGGTTTATGACAAAGACTGGATGTATGTTAGGACACTTCTGCCCAGATTCCACTGGCTACAACCCAATCATGAGGTCCCAACCTAATTGCAAGGGAGGCTGGGAAATGCAGTCTTCCTGTGTGCCCTAACAGGAACTGGATGAACATTTAGTCAATTTTGCAAATATTTTTATATACAGTAAGTCCCTACATATGAACGAGTTCCGTCCCAAGAGCGCATTCATTAAGTCCAATTTGTTTGTAAGTCCAACAAAGTTAGCCTAGGTACCCAACTAACACAGTTGGCTATATAGTACTGTCCTATAATAGGTTTATAATACTTTTCACACAAATAACATAAAACACAAAAATAAAACATTTTTAATCTTACAGTACAGTACCTTGAAAAATACAGTAGTACAGTACAACAGCGGGCGTACAGGGGCTGGCATCGAGGGAACAGGCAAGAAGAGTTACTGACTGGAGGAGGGAGAGGAGGTGGGAGGTGGTAGAGCTGAAGGATCGTCAGCAACAGGAGACGGAGGGCGAGCTGCAATTTCACTCACACCTGACGCTGATGGCACAGGTTCTGGCTCCTTGCTGGATTCAATTCTATCGACCCTCTTGAAAAAATGATCCAGTGATGTCTGGGTAGTAGCTACTTTTTTTCTCGTCATAGATGACATCCTGGGCTTGAAATAAAGATACTGTACTACTGTACTCTATACAGTACTGTAAAGTACACAAAAGCACACTTGCAGAGGATGTATGCACGTGACAACGTACACCAGACATGTGAACTAACTTACGTGACTGGACATGCGAATGCATGTTCGCATCTTTGAAAGTTCACAGCTTGAAGGTTCGTATGTAGGGGCCTTACTGTATTGGTGGCTTTACTCCAAAGGATATATTTCTGGACTGAAATTTCTGGGCTGTGAAATTCTATATAATGTGTGTATGTCTATCACTTCACAAAAAAGGCCATGACAACTCCTATTTCTGTCAGCAGAGTAGGAATATTCAGCACCTTTCTTGCTTTTCTAAATCTCCCTTCCAAAGGTACTAAAAGACTAGAAACTCCACTGACCAGATTCCTGTGTCAACAGGGTCCTGGTTTAACTTCCACCAATGAGAGGCACTCTCACAGAAACTAGAAAAGGTGAAGAAAGCAAGCAGCCTTTATTTCATTCTAACATGTTGACACTTGGCAGAAATGGCCTGTAGTTGCTTCCAGGTGACATCCTGCATTCTGCAGAGATTACTGGCAGGGGCTTTCCCTGAAGTTCCTGCATTACCGGATTTTCTAAAAGCCAGCAATGATTTCTCCTGACTTGTTTTCTCAGTCTTTCTGACAGTTTAGTGAACATCTCATTTCTTGTATAAAACCTCTTCCTACTTGAAATACTTAAAGCAATTTGTTTCCAGACTAAGTACTAACTTACACATCAACCTAGCATTTGTCTTTTATCTTTGTTTATGACCTATTTTTTCCCACATATAATTTTTTAATTCTTACATTTCAAATATATTTGTTTTATGTTATAGCTGTGGTGTTGCTGCTTCCCAAGCCTTAGTTAACATATTCTATAAAACGTCTAATTTCTATCTTTTATAGTTAAATCATTAATTCATCTGGAACTTACTTTTGCATGTGTTGAGACTGCTAGTATCATCTATTAAATCAATCCTGTTTTCTCACCCAACTGAAATATCATCTTTGTCCCAAATATCTTGATCTATTTCTAGGCCACCTAGTCTATTCCAGTGATCTGTTTATTTTCCTGAGCAATGCCATACAGTGTTGATTGCTGTGGTTTTATAAAATGTTTTAACAACTGTTTTATAAATCTAAATTCAAAAGAGACCATCTAACACAATAACTTGTGTTACCAGGTTAACTCAGTTGTACATAAACTCATAATAAAATTTATTTTTCTATGTCTGTGCACACATTTGAACTTTCTACAAATATTAATAACAGAAACATCTGAATACTTGGCTAAAATAAGGGAGCAATGACCAATCCTAACCCGATTCCAAATGTTGGAGAAGGAGCAGCCTCACTCTTCTGACTGCTTTCATAAGTTAATGTTATAAAATTGAATTTGTAAAGTAACATTATCCTAATCAAATACTACTTTTGTCATTCATATATACTTTATATATAAGACTATAAAGGACTCTATGTAAGAGTTTGTTTAGAGAGGCGGAGTCAAGATGACTGTGTGGGAAGACGAAGAGTTAGCGTCTCCCCACAACTAGGGCACCTGCCGACCGCTGGTGGGGGACTCTGATGCCCAGGAAGACGCGAGGAACCCCAAAGTGAACTGGTAGGATGAAGGGGGACTGCGGGGGGAGGAGAAGTGGACCCCAGACAGGATGGGCACCCCTGAAGCTGGGGAGATCAGGAGAGGAGTGGAGAGGTTGATTGCCCCGCCCACTGGGACCAGGGGAGCCTGCTGAGCTCCCAGGCTGGTCCTCTGCCCTCCAAGGTTCCCCCCTACAACCGAATTGGTCCTGGGGGCATAGAAGGGAGGCTGGGGAGATCAGGAGAGGCAGGAGGCATGGGCTCTTGCAGGCTGGAGGAGCGGGAGAGGAGAGGAGGGCGTCTGCCCCGCCCACTCAAGCCCAGGAAGCCTGCTGGGCTCCCAGGTGAGGTCCCCTGCCCTCTGAGACCAGGGCTGGGGGGCACTCCTGGGCCCCTTCTGTTCCTTGAGCCTAAGCCCCACCCCCCATAGCCCCCAGGGCCTTTTCCAGCCCTGTGGGTCCTGAGCATTGGCCCCACCCACCACCCAAACCTCGCCCTTGCTTAGGCCCCGCCCTCCACAGCCAAGGCCTCCCCCCACTTCTTTTTTCTTTTCTTTTCCCTCCTCCTCTCTTTTACTATTGTGGTACTGACATACCTTCTGGTTGTTGATTCATATTTTTATATTCTTCCTAACATATCTGTTAGTTTCCCAGTCTAATTTTATTTTTTACTTTGTTACTGTTCTTTTTTTTTTTTTTTTTCTTTTCTTTTTTCCACCCCATGCACATTGAGGGATCTTGGTTCACGAGCCGGGGGGTTGGGCCAAAGCTCCTGCAATGGGAGCTCCAAGTCTGAACCACTGGACTAACAGAAAGACCCCAGGGAATATTCAACGGAGTGAGGTCTCACGGAGTTCCTCATCTCAGCACCAAGACCCAGCTCTACCCAACAGCCTAAAAATTCCAGTGTTGGAAGCCTCAGGTCAAACAACCAGTAAGACAGGAACACAATCCCACTCATAAAAAAAAAAAAAAAAATAAGACAGCAACATAATATGTCACAGATGAAGGAGCAAGGTAAAAACCTACAAGACCAAATAAATGAACAGGAAATAGGCAACCTACCTGAAAAAGAATTCAGAGTAATGATAGTAAGATGGTCCAGAATCTCGGAAACAGAATGGAGGCATGGATTGAGAACACAGAAGAAATGTTTAACAAAGATCTAGAAGAACTAAAGGACAAACAAACAGATGAACAGCACAATAACTGAAATAAAAATACACTAGAAGGAATCAATAACAGAGTAACTGAGGCAGAAGAACAAATAAGTGAGCTGGAAGACAAAACGGTGGAAATAACTGCCAAGGAGCAGAATAAAGAAAAAAGAATGAAAAGAATTGAAGACAATCTCAGAGACCTCTGGGACAACACTAAACGCATCAACATTCAAATTATAGGGGTCCCAGAAGAAGAAGAGAAAAAGAAAGGGTCTAAGAAAATATTTGAAGAGATTATAGTCAAAAACTTCCCTAACATGGGAAAGGAAATAGTCACCCAAGTCCAGGAAAAAGAGACTCCCATACAGGATAAACCCTAGGAAAAACACACCAGGACACTTATTAATCAAACTAACAAAAATTAAATTCAAGAAAAAAATATTAAAAGTAGCAAGGGAAAAACAAAAACTAACATACAAAGGAATCCCCATAAGGTTATCAGCTGATTTTTCAGCAGAAACTCTGCAGGCCAGAAGGGAGTGGCAGAATATACTTAAAGTGATGAAAGAGAAACCTACAACCAAGATTACTCTACCCAGCAAGGATCTCATTCAGTTTCGATGGAGAAGTCAAAAGCTTTTCAGACAAGCAAAAGCTAAGAGAATTCAGCACCACAAAACCAGCTTTACAACAAATGGTAAAGAAACTTCTCTAGGCAGGAAATGCAAGAAAAGAAAAGGACCCACAAAAACAAACCCAAAACAATTAAGAAAATGGTAATAGGAACATACGTATCGATAATAACCTTGAATGTAAATGGATTAAATGCCCCAACCAAAAGACACAGACTGGCTGAATGGATACAAAAAAAGACCTCTATATATGCTGTCTACAAGAGACCCACTTCAGACCTTGGAACACATACAGACTGAAAGTGAAGGGATGGAAAAAGACATTCCATGCAAATGGAAATCAAAAGAAAGCTGGAGTAGCAACACTCGTATCAGATAAAATAGACTTTAAAATAAAGACTGTTGGGGCTTCCTTGGTGGAACAGTGGTTAAAAATCCACCTGCCAATGCAGAGGACACGGGTTCGAGCCCTGGTCCGGGAAGATCCCACATGCTGTGGAGAAATTAAGCCCGTGCGCCACAACTGCTGAGCCCGAGTGCCACAACTACTGAAGCCTGAGCGCCTAGAGCCTGGGCTCTGCAACAAGAGAAGCCACCGCAACAAGAAGCCCACACAACGAAGAGGAGCCCCCGCTCACCGCAACTAGAGAAAAGCCCACGTGCAGCAACGAAGACCCACCACAGCCAAAAATAAAATAAATAATTTTTTTTAAAAGTAATAAATAAATAAATAAGCTACAAGGATACATTGTACAGCACAGCACAAGGAATATAGCCAATACTTTATAATAACCATAAATGGAGTATAATCTCTAAAAAGTTTGAATTACCATGTTGTACATCTGAAACTAATATAATATTGTAAATCAACTATACATCAATAAAAAAATGAATGCCAAAAAGGAAGAGTTTGTTTATAAAATGGGTAACATTACCAGTATTTTTTAAAACTATTGGTCTAATACATAAACTTGTGCTGCTTTTAATATCATTCAACTGTTTGTCTGATTTATTTTTCATTAAGATATAATACACATACCACAGAGTTCTTCACTCTTTAAAGTTTCCAATTCAGTTGCTCTTAGTATATTCACAAAGTGTGCAGCGATCACCACTTTGTAATTCCTGTTTGTCTGATTTTCTTTTTTATTATTTAAAAAAATGGAAAATCAAAAGTATAATTTTCATTCAATAAATATCATTTGATCCTTAGGCAGTTTTGTTGCAGAAAGTAAAGTTCATGATTTTAGAATGATGGTAGCAATTCATCAACAAAGTAATCAGTTTTCACACAGTTTCAATAACTGCAGCAATTTCCTTGAACTGTCTGTAGAAATTCTGGAGAGAAAGGGGAAAAACAATATTAATTTTGCTTTTAGAGGCTATTTAAGTAGTTCTTTTAATTATATCTAACCAGCAGAGGCTCTAGAACATATTAAGTTTGCATTTTAATGTTACTTCCTCAACTATTATTATTCAAAAGTTACTATAAGAAACAAACAGGTGTAATTTGGTGCAAGCAAAAATACTACTGTAGAGTCGGATAATTAGCTCATAAATAAGCTTTTTAAAAGCATCCAACGAAGTTCTTTGAGATCACAACAGAAAGATTTATTAAATGCCCAGCACTGTTCTCAACAATGAAGACTTTAAAAAAATGACAGATTGGTTCCCAGGCTCTGAACCACTTTTAATACAGTGAAAGACTGCATTTCAGGGTGATAGGGGCTGTCTTGTCAGTTATACTAAGAGGGACCCAACACTGACAGTAGCTTACATGGTAGAAGCTTATTTCTCTTTCAATTAAAAACTAAGCTGGTATGGTAGTTCTCCTGTAGAAGTCATCAGATAAAACATCAGATAAAAAAGGGATCAAATTCTGTTTTCCTTTCTTATTCTCTACTTGCCGAGAAGTAGGAAGCAAATTTGATATACTCTAATGATTCCATCCTTGTATTTTCCCTCTTCTTTGGACTTAATTCTCTATTTTGCTACTTAAAAGAGTATCTGTATTTTCTTTTAACTCATATGTAAGTTTATTATGGAACGAAGGAGGAAATAACCATTTCTTAAAAAATATATACTCATGATCATAATTTCAGCTACTAGAAAGATAAAAGTCAAAAGCTCAAAGAATGCTCCTTGGTGCTCAGTCCTATAATGTGACTAACAGGCTGTTCGCCTGGTTAGCTGTAAGCCACGTAAGAACTACCTCTAAAAGAGTTGCCCCATTTGTGATCTTTTGACTATGAGAAAAAAATTTTAAGAGATGGAATCAGGGAGCACAAATGTGGCAAAGAAAAATAAGAATTAGGCCAGTATTATGAATTACAAAAGGACTGAAACCTATATTCCTTTTGGAAGTAGATTTGGTCTTTATGTTCAGTTGCAAGCTACTCACATATCACAATACACTACATTTAGTTCCTTCCAACCAAGTCCTAATTTGCTTCCAAGACACCATTTAGCATTAAAAATAATGAATCTGTGACCCTTTTTTTGTTCTACAGCAGACACAGCTGTTCTAAAAATAGGAATCAAAAGGAGAGAACATCCTTAAAATGTAATTTGTAAAACAGAACTACAATATAACCCACAAATCTCACTTCTGGGTATATATCCAAAGGAAATAAAATCACTACCTCAAAAAGTTATCTGCACTCCCACATTCAGTGCAGCATTACTCACAATAGCAAGGTATGGAAACAACCCAAGTGTCTGTTGACAGATGAATGGATAAAGAAAATGTGGTGGAAAAAAAAAAAAAAGAAAAGAAAATGTGGTGTGTATATATACACAACAGTATACTATTCATCCTTTAAAAAGAAGGAAATCCTGCTATTTTTGACAACATGGGTGAACCTGGAGGACACTATGCTAAGTAAAATAAGCCAGACACAAAGACAATACTGCATGATCTCACTTATATGTGGAATCTAAAAAAATTGGAATTCATGGTAACAGAGAGTATGCTATAAGAAATAATTCATATCTGTTCACTCACCAAAGGGATCAAAACAAACAAAAACAAAACTCTAAGGCCAGTTAAACTAGCCAAAGACAAAGCATTTCCCTGTATGTACATTGAAAAGAAAATGATTTCTCATCCACCCCCTTTCTTCCTTTCTTGCTTACAGATAAGAGGTAGAATAATAATATATATAATATTGGATACGAAAAAAAAAATATATATATATATAACATGATTCTATAAATAAACTATTGAGTTACTCTAATCCCCAGCAGATAAAATTACCCATCAAGTACTAGAGGTCTGATCTACATTTTGTAAACATTATTAGTCAGAAAATTCAGGGTCAATACTGCTCAAAGGTAAGATTTATTTAGCTTAATCACTCTTGAATATTAAGCCTAAGAAGAATAAAACAGTTAAATGCAAAGTAAATATCCTGCTAGAAAAGATGCAAATTTCTTAAACACACTCACAGATGAGTCCTTGAAAGTGATGGAGTGTCAGTATACAAATTCAGCATATTATATTGAAAATATTGAAAATAATTTATCAAATTCCCAAATAAAGTAAATCCAGATCTTTTGCATGTAAAGCACATCAAAACAATTGCAAATAAAAACAGTTAAAATTTTCTCTTAAAGAAGATTTTATGCATCTTTTTAAACAGTAATTACAGAACAATGGCTAAACTGAATGAGTTTTATCACAAACCTGAAACTGTGGAATTGTCATTTCGAAGGACTTGTTCTTTACTTGGCCTGAATGATCTGCCACTTTGAGCATCACTGCAACGTAAGGATACTTAAGTGATCTGCAGCTGTCTGAGCTCACAGCCATACCCAGCTTCCACTGAAAATCTATTAGCTGTAATGAAACAGTACACAATACACCAGTTATAATATTGCCCTGAATGAAGATATTTATTCAATTTTACTGCTCTCATATTCAAGTTTTAATTTCAAGGCCAGTCAGAATAAAAGAAAATATCTTCATTTTAATATTGTTAGGGGGATATAATAATCAAATGAACACAGAGAGAGGCAATAAGAGATGTAAACAGGGTTGGAAAACAACACTGTCATAATTACAAAAGGGAAAAAACAAAAGTCTCCACCTGATGTGTTATGGAGGTAGATGTGGCAGTACTAGTTTTCTTTTCATTTTGCTCCTGTGCTTAAGGGGACTCCAAACGTTTTGGACCATCTCTTATCTCATTTTCCTGTTCCACATATGCCTTGCCCCATTCCACAACCCAAAAGTCCTAAAATGGAAGATGAGTTATATACCATCTTCATATTTGATTGAGGCATACATGGGACCATACCAGTTTCTTTCCTCACCACAGTCCTTGACATGAAACCTTACACTATTGGGGAAGGTGGTTTTAGATTTCATCACTGTTGATGATGGATACCTGCCACGTGATGTGCTATGCAGTTTACATGTATTTAATGCCTCACTGAATCATCATAACATTATAGGCTATTATTTCCATTTTGCAGGTGACAAAACTGAATTTCAGAGAGCTTACGTAATATGCACAAAGTCATGCATTTCTGGACTCATAACTGAAACCAAACTCTGTTTGACTCCAATGATTACATGCTTATTGACTCCTGGTTGCCTCAATACCTTCTAGCTAATTCTTTTCAATGATTGTTCAGTGTTGCCATGGCATAAAACAGGACTGGATAAATGCAACCCTTAATACTGAGTTTAAAAACATAAGACAATAAATGGAGGAATTTTGTGTCTTGTTCCCAAAGCTTCGAAAGATATGTAGTACCTAGCAGGCACTCACAAAAAATACCTGTCTATTGACTGATACCTTTTGCTACCAAATGAATGCTTACTGGGCAAATAGCTTTACATATTAATAAAAAAATTTTTATAAAAGGTGGGATTAGTGTAAGGACCAAAATTTCCTCCTGTCTTCATACTGGCATTAGACGAACCAGCTACAGCATGAAGGGCAGGCTGGTCCCGACAAAAGGTTAACATCTTTGATAAGTAAAAAGACTGTACAGGTACTTCTTAAAGTTTCCCATACAAAAATAGAGAAAGGATAGTAGGTTAATAAGAAAAGAACTACAAACAGCTAATAAGCATATGGAAAGGAAACAGGGAAATGCAAATTTAAAACACAAAGAGATACCACTACACACCTACCAAAATGGCAAAATTTTAAGTCTGATGATTCTAAAACTGGCAAGAAAGGATGTATCACAGTGCTGCTGATGGAAGTCTAAATTGGGTCAATCTTTCGGAAAATTGGCTTTACTTAAACTGCAGTTACGCATATCCAGTGATCCGGTGATTCAATTATTAGGGATATAACCTAGAAAAACAGTATACTTGGGGCTTCCCTGGTGGCACAGTAGTTAAGAATCTACCTGCCAATACAGGGGACAGGGATTCGAGCCCTGGTCCGGGAGGATCCCACATGCCACAGAGCAACTAAGCCCGTGCGCCATTAACTACTGAGCCTGTGCTCTAGAGCCTGCGTGCCACAACTACTGAAGCCCGTGCACCTAGAGCCCGTGCTCTGAAACAAGAGAAGCCACTGCATTGAGAAGCCCGCGCACCACAATGAAGAGTAGCCCCTGTTGCAGCAACTAGAGAAAGCCTATGTGCACCAACGAAGACCGAACACAGTCAAAATAAATAAATTTATTTTAAAAAGTTAAAAAAAAAAAAAGAATCCACCTGCCAGTGCAGGGGACACGGGTTCGAGCCTTGATCGGGGAAGATCCCACATGTCGCGGAGCAACTAAGCCTGTGCGCCACAACTACTGAGCCCATGTGCCACAACTACTAAAGCCCACCGGCCTAGAGCCTGTGCTCCGCAACAACAAAAGCCACTGCAATGAGAAGCCCACCCACCACAACGAAGAGTAGCCCCTGCTCGCCGCAACTAAAGGAAGCCCTTGCGCAGCAATGAACACCCAAAGCTGCCAAAAATAAAATAAATATTTTAAAAAAGGAAAAACAGGATGTTTATGTGAGAATGTTCCTAGCAGCTATATTCAAAATAGCCCTAACCTATAAACAACCCAGATGTTCATCAGTAATAAAACGGACAAATGAAATGCTGTACAGCAATGAAAATGAACTTCAGCTACACTTAACACCAAAAATCCTGAAAGAAACAAGTCAAAAAGTTATGTGATTCCATGCACTTAAACTTGAGAAACAGGAAATATTATACTGTTTAGTGATGCATACACAGATGGCAAAACTATAAAAAGAAGCAAGAATATGACTATCACAAAAGGATAATTATTACCTCTAGGGAGGAGGGCGGGAGATATATGATTGGGAAGGGGCATGTGGTGGGCTTCTGGGGTACTGGTAATGTTCGATTTCTTGAGTTTTGATTGTAGTGACACAGATGTTCACCTTTAAAGTACCCATTTTTTTGGTAACTATTTGAGGGGATGGAGGTTAACTAGATGTACTGTGGTAATCATTTTGCAGTATATGTATGTCAAGTCATTATGCAGAGCTGTATTTCAATTATATCTCAATAAAACTGGAAAAAGTAAAATTATTCATTAAACAGTCCAAATGTTCTGCACGTTTTGGTATAGATGTTATCTTGCACATATAGCAGGGGGAGGGGAGGATATGTTAGTGAGCTCCACATTTCTGGTTGAAAGGAAAAATTTATTTAGGGTAGGTGATCAAAGGAAAGCTTCAGAGGAGACAGAGCTCAGTTTTGAAGAATAACAGAACTGAAATTGAGAGGAAAAAATTTGTTTTATTTATATATTCCATAAATACACACCTAGCAAAGAATAAGTGCTTAATAAATATTAAGCTGAACCAACTAGAGATAAAAGTAGTTCATATCGGGCTTCCTGGTGGCGCAGTGGTTGGGAGTCCGCCTGCCGATGCAGGGGATGCGGGTTCGTGCCCCGGTCCGGGAAGATCCCACATGCCGCGGAACGGCTGGGCCTGGGAGCCTTGGCCGCTGAGCCTGCGCGTCCGGAGCCTGTGCTCCGCAACGGGAGAGGCCACAACAGTGAGAGGCCCACGTACCAAAACACAAAACAAAACAAAAAACAAAAAGTAGTTCATATCTGGCTGAGGGATAGAGCACACTGTCTCAAAGTGAAAGGCTCTTATAAGGAAGTATGGAAAATAAGGCTGACAAGAGATCAAGAATCAAGAGGCCAGTAATTTTTTGCAAATTGTACAAGTTTTCAGAATACTCTCATTTACAGTTGACCCTTAAACGATGTGGGTTTGAACTGCAGGGATCCACTTATACACAGATACTTTTCAATAGTTAATACTACAGTACTACACGGTCTGCAGTTGGTTGAATCCACATGTATGCAGAGGAACCTAGGATATGTGACAAGTAGGATGAAGCTGATCCTGTGAAGAATGGATCACTAGGTCTTGATGATCATCTACAGTTAAGGGAGGTATCAAAGACAACTATAAAATTTTGAGCCCAGATGACTGGGAGAATATATCATATATGAATCAGGACTTTTTACATTTTAAGCCCAAAAGTATTATCAAGAAGTGATAATTAACCTATATGAGAAAAGAATCTAAAAAAGAATGAATATATGTATAACTGAATCACTTTGCCGTACACCTGAAACTAACACAACATTGTAACTTAACTATACTCCAATAAAATTTTTTAAAAAGTGATAAGGAATATCTAAATAGGAATGTTCAATAAGTGGATAAAAATTCAAGAACAGAATTCATGGGAGTTCATGATTAGAGATAGTTTTATATCAGTTCAATGGTGATATTCAAGAAAGTAACTTAACACTTTTTAAACATATTTGCCCCATATAACTCCTTGATGCAAGAAGTTCCATTTTTACTGTCCATAGTAAAATGGGAGATAAAACATTGCTTATTTGACTCTAAAAGTATGAAATAAAACTCTGGATTATCCAGAACATTTTAAGCAGAAAAGCAATTAAGGAACACAATGTTGGAATTCACTGACCATTACAATGGTGAAACTGGCAGGTGGGGAAATTGGGAGAGCTGCCATTTACTGTGCAAAGCTGGTATTCATGAGTACAAGAGCTGGGATTAGGGTTATGGGATGAGAATTTCCCAAATTCTGAACTGAACATTTAAATGCAAATTATCAATAAAAGCAAACCTTCTAATAAGTGTGACTGAGCCTTAAACAGGAATTAACTACAGAGGAGATTTTAAAAAGAATAAAAAAAGAAAAAACAAAAAAATCAGAACAGGGCGAACATCACTATGGAGAATATTAAGAATGAAGTAAGAATGAAGTAGCCTCAAAATTCTTGTAGAATTAAGCAAATGATTTAAAAAGAAAAATGTACAGAGAAAAAAAGCTAGTAGTAAAAAAAATACAGGAATAACCAGAAGTAAAATGAATACAAAGAAGAAAAATAATCAGAAAGCAAATATAGATTAAGAGGTAAACAAAGAAATTAGCTGTAGTCTGTCACACTAAAAAATAGTTGATATGGTGGCTGAAGTTACTGTTAACATAAAAACATCACTATAAAAACCGTGTACAGGGGCTTCCCTGGTGGCGCAGTGGTTGAGAGTCCGTCTGCCGATGCAGGGGACACGCGTTCGTGCCCCGGTCCGGGAAGATCCCACATGCCACGGAGCAGCTGGGCCCGTGAGCCATGGCGGCCGCTGAGCCTGCGCGTCCGGAGCCTGTGCTCCACAGCAGGAGAGGCCACAGCAGTGAGAGGCCCGCGTACCGCAGAAAAAAAAAAAAAACTGTCTACAAAGAAAAAAATTTTTAAGACCATTTCGGTTTAAATTTAATTTTTATTTTTCAAAACATAACAGGAGAAAATTTAAAAAATAATCGTGTAAAACTGCATCATCTTAAA